CAACATAGTGAGTCTAGTATAGAAAGATGTGATTTGAGCAAAGTATGAGTTTCCATTCGTTTCCTTTAGCTTTATGGTTGTAGAAGCATGTACTATCATCATGTGGTATGCGGCAAGAAAGGATAAAGGCTACATAGCTGATGATCTAACTATCCTGAAACTGACACAAATGTCCATCCATCAATTTTCTTTCACTTATCTGGGGCCAAGTCACAGGGGCAACAGCCTAAACAGCGAAGCCCAGACCTCTCTCCCCCCTGCCACCTCCTCTGGCTTGTTTGGGGGAACACCAAGACATTCCCAGTCCAGATATAATCTCTATAATATTATCCTGGGTCTCCTAATCAGGGCCTCCTCCCTGTGGGACATGCCCGGAACACCACACCCAGGAGGCGTCAGATGCCCAAACTACCTCAGCTGGCTCCTTTTGATGTGGAGGAGCAGCATCTCTACCCTGAGCCCCTCCCGAATGGCAGAACTCCTCACCTATCTCTAAGTGAGAGGCCAGATCATCTGCAAAAAGCAGAGATGTAATTCTGAGCCTGCCCAGGTAGAAGACTTCATGGCTACACCTAGAAATTCAGACCACAGAAATTATGAAGAGAATCGGTGACAAAGGGCAGCACTGGTCCAACACCCACTGGGAACAATTCCGTCTTATTGCCAGCTATGGCCTGATTGAATGGCTCGAAGCAACTGGCCAGACACCCCACACTCCCGAAGCACCACCCAGAGAACACTTTGAGGGACTTTGAGGGAGAATGCCTTCTCCAAGTCCACAAAACACCACCACCTGACACCAAATGTGCAGTACAAAAATAACAACAAACACATGGGGAAGATTATGTAACAACAATGGCAGAGAAACAGAAAAATCTCCTTATTACTATAAGCTGCTAGCTACAGGTATGTAAGCCAATTTTTGCAGTAAAATGTGCAGGTTAACTGAATTGAACATTTTTTTGTTGCTATAAAAATAAGAGGTGAGTTGAGAATCAGCCTGAGTGTATATGTTTGCACTTACGTGCTATTCTGTGTTTATGTTTGCTAAGCTGATTAGCCACATGCAGATGTTCATGCCTGGTTAAAAGTGTTGTAGTGTAGGGAAAGTTTTAGATCCTCCAGGTAAGCAGTAAAATATACATGAGGATAATGGAGTTTATTCACAGTTATAGGACTATGTATAAAAGATGAATAATGCCACTGTGCTGCCACACGTTGGGTAGTGACGTCCCATTGATAAACATAAAGCTGAGTATTTCATTTGTTATCAAACTGATGTTTAAGACTGGATATGGCGAGTGAGAGGCAGCGCTGGTTGGTGGTTCTTAGTTTATCATCCTTTATGACTTTTAGTAAGGACTGTAATTTACAAAATAAATATTTAAATATGTCCCAAAGCTAGCAATTAAAACTGTGAAGTAATCAGGAAAGTGTTTACAGAGGTCGCAGAGCAAATGAGCTGAGGGTCCTTAAACCTTTCCATACAACCAGAAGTCTAAAAACCAATGCATTCATGTTTATGTTCATCATGCCCGGCACCCTCTGGAAATTCATACAAATTGTTGAGTTTCTAAATGTGTCGAGTGTATTTATGTTCTCATAAAACATTAGCAAAGACATATTTTTTACATTTTATTTTTTAGATGATTTCCATCCATGTTTGCTAACCTTTGCAGGCACATTGCTTTGCATAAACCGATTTGTACTGCTGTCAGTTGTTTACGCACAATATAAAGAGCGAGGGGGACTCACATTTATTACTGCTGCTACAAACCAAAACCTCCACACGGCACCTTTAAACATATTTAGTAATACGCCGACTAAACTACTTTTTAATAGACCCCATTGAACATTCAGTCCAAATCATCCTAGGTTTTCACAGATGTAAGCCAGTCTGACAAACATTTTGAAAACAACATCAGTGAACCCAGCTGCCCCCTGATACTGGTAGAAGAGGTTTGGATCATAACAGAAAATGTGATTCATTCAGCAAGTAGCAGCAGTCACCTTAGTGTACAGAATTACTCTCCAGGCACCTAACTGCATAAAAACATGCAAACACACACACACACACACACACACCTCCACTCTCTCCCAGAAGCGCAGTTGGACTCCAGTTTAGTGTAAGGTATCTCGTTTCATCCAGCCTCTGTGCTGGGACTGTTTGAAGCAAAGGAAGCTCTTGTGTTTGATGGAGACTTACCTTCTTCCTCATCTCCTCTCAGCTTCCAGAGAAACTTCTCCTCTTTGATGTCTCTCCCTCCTCCACTTTCTGCCTCCTGTCATCCATCTTTCCTTTATATTTTTTTCCCCCTTCTGCCTTCTTTCCATCTCCCTCCCTAAGAAAGTATTCTGTCCATATGGAGGTGGTGGAATTGCATAAAAATGTCGTTTCATAGCCTGCAGGGCCGAGTAGAGACACTAAAAGTTGAATTTAACAGTGGCAACACCTCCCGGCACGGTGTTTCTGGGAGGCTGGTGTCTCATTAGTAATCAGAAAAAAACGTGCAATCAGGATAGAAATCCATCAAGTAGAATTCAATAACCAATTCAAATGATTTTTTTTCTTATGAAAGAACTAGAATAAGTCCTACACAGAGCTAAATATATCCAAATATATTGGATGAAAACAGGCATCGGCAGAAGTTTTTAACAATTCAAGCAGTTGAGACGTGTGTTTTACCCATTTTTTTGTTGTTGTTGTTGTTTTTACCTTGTAGTAAATGTTTTGTTATTAGTTAAACAGTGATAAATGTATTTTTTCCATATCTTATAGTTCCAGGAGACGTTCCAGTTATTGATTGTGTTTCATCGGTGTACAAGGCTACTTCTTGTGCCAGCAGTGAAGTTACATCAAACTGAGTTCAACAATTGACACAACTGTCAGAACAAACGCTTGAAGATGAAACATTAATTATTGATCTGCTCGACGATTAGTGAAACAGCTTCATCACTCGAGTTGATTGTCTGTGAAATGGCTACACCATCCATTAGCTGCCTGCTGTCTTTCTGTCTGGTTTTTTGAAACCTCATCTCTTTTTCCCCCTTTTTTAAAAAAAACGTGAATTCTTGCTCTGCGCACTTCTTTGAACCCTCGAGCTCATTATCTGTACTTGGAGCCATTTACTAAGTCTAACCTATTTTCTCTGCTTGATATAGCAGAAAGCTTTTCTGTGTTAGGGGTAAAGGATGCTTTGGACTTGGAAACACTAGGTGACTTATTAGGGTTTGTTTTTTTTAACTTAACTACTGTATTTTCTTAAAGGGCTGTCTTCATTGACTTTTACAAAATAGTTGAAAGCACAGCCTGCACTTTATCCTTTCTGCTGAGTCTATAAAGTTCAAGCTCTTTGTTGGTTATCTGGTAAGAGAAGAAAAAAGCAGAGGGCTAACTGCTGGTGAGAAAATGTGCAAATAGGAATCACCAAATCAACAAAAACCAAACAGTTGAGTCACAATGCTGAAGCTAACCCTGACTTATAGTCATGAGCTCTGGGTAGTGAAAAGAACACGATCATGTATACAAACAGGCAAAATGAGCTTCCTCTGTAGGGTGGCTGATCTCAGCCGTAGGTACAGGGTGAGGAGCTCAGAGCCGTTGCTCCTCTATGTTCAAAGTAGTCGGCTAAGGTGGTTTGGGCGTCTGATTAAAATGCCTTCAAGATACCTCCCTTTGAAGGTTTTCACAGCACGACGAACTGTGGGGCAAACCCAGTGCCTCAGTATTCCCTATAAGAAACTTAAAATAAGACTAGGAACACTTGGAATACTCTGTTTATCTTATCCTGCCTGACTTTAGATAAAAAGAAGAGGGTGGATGAACGACGTAGGAGCTTACTGCCAATCACCTGCAACACTGATGACATTAAATTCTTCCATGGGTCTCCAACACATATTACATGATGGATAATTTCCAAAATAGCCACAACTACACAGAGTTTAGCAAATGAGACCAAATTAACTCATTCTAAAAATGTATATGCTTAATATTTCTAGTTGGACGTTGACTGTATTTGAGTGGGCACTAGAGGCATTTACCCGGTATGTACAGGATGTTATTGGTAAAGCAAAATAGCAGTTTGTTCCCTGTGTGTGTGGATGGTTGGTAAAGTAAAGTACTAGTTCCATCAAGTACTGACAGCAGCATGGCTGCGATCTGCTTATTGGCTAAGGCTGACCTCTGACTTCCCCTTGGAGTAAAAAGGTAGGGTAATTGCTCTCTGCGGAGACCATTACAGCATTGTACCATCCCTCTGTTAAAACCTGTAAAGTGACCAGTCGGCATTTGCCGATTGGTCACTTTTCTCTCAAGGCCTCTGGAATCTTTTCCTACCAAGAGGAACATATCACTGATTTTCTTTCCCCAACTCTCCACATGTATTTGTGTCAACTCTGACATCCCAGGGTCATTTTAATCCTGCGTAGATTGGAATGTAGAGTTTAGTGCAATTTTCAACTTGCACACATAGCATCTGTATTACAACGGCCATAAAAAGCAGTAGCGGGGCAGATGGATTAGATTAGATGATTGACGATTCCTGTGGGGAAATTAGATTGCTGCTGCTGCAATAGTAATAGGATTCAGCAGGAGAAGAAGACAAACAGAATATAAGCACACATTCAGAATAGGAAATCAGCAGTGGAAGGAAGGAAGGATCTGAGCATTTAAGCACAGTTTGGTGCCAAGAAAGAAAAACAAAAATCAAAGTGCATCTGGCTCTGCACTGAGGCCATTTGTAGAATTTTGCTAGTTATGTGGGTGTGATGTGTGTGTTACATTGATGTGGTAGAGTCCCAGGATTACCGCAGTCCAAAAAAAGATGACTAAGATTACTTGTGTGCTTGAGCAACCTCAAGCGTCCTATCATACCTGCTTGTATTGCTGTCCAGAGAGAGTTTATGAATTCATCTGCTTGCAACTGCTCCCCGGTGCTTTGGTTATGTAACATCCACAAATTCACCATTACCTCACAGCAACATTTTATCCCGTTTCACAGGTACCTCGGTCGTGACGATGTGGCCGAGGCGTCTCTGAGCAAAGCCCAGGAGGAGGGAGGCAGCGTCCGACTGGTCACAAAGGAGAACTTCTTCACAAAGAGGAGGTCTGCCTCTTCGCTAACACCACCTGCTACACAGAGGTTTGTTAAGGGAAAAAACGTGCACATAAAGGTCAAGTTGTCCTCAGGTCTGTAAGTAGTTTGCTGCTAATATATGAAACTAAAATTCAAATGTATTTCTAGCTGATCACTGTGTTTCTCCTGTCTACTACACAAACGGTATTTTGATCATTCATAGATCCGTTCTTGTCTGTAGTATTTAAAGATGAAACTTCAAGGTCTGCACATGAAGGTGGTTTGTCTCACCACATGGTTTCCTCTTCAGGATTCAGAGTATTTTCATTTTCTTTCCCTCAGCTGTCTCCATGGAGATCTGTATGTGCCTTGTGGGAGAGACACAAAGGCCCACTGAGTGTGTTAGTACAGTAAATATAGACCATAATATGATCTACTGGGTGAGATGCATCGGCCAGCTCACCCCAGGAGGCAATATCTCTATGGAAACCTGCAGCAAACACACAGATGAGCTCTCACACATGTACACAGTTACTGGTGTTACATACAAAATGTCTGTGATAATCTATAAAGTGCCTTAAAGGCTCTGTTCAGGATATGTGCTTTTAGACAACAGATAGCGTTTTACTGCATGAGGTATACAGCAGTGTCTGGAAGTATAAAGTGTTTGACAGAAGCAAGCACTGCTGTGTGAATAAACACGGTAAAAGGCAGCATGGTAACAACATTAAATGGCCATTTATAAAAGCTGACTTAAAAAATGTGCTAATATGCTAGTAGCTAGAATAGAAATGGCATCCATCCGTCCAACTAACTGTGGCATGTGGTTGGAGGGATGAGGAGAATCCATGTTTTCATAAAGTAGGAAGATTGACATCCATCACTGTTATCTATTTAAGCATTCAAGTAAAACTTGTACATAACATTGAACTGCTCCTTCAAAACAACAAATTCAGTTCAGTTCCTGCTAATACTTCCTGCTGGCTGATATCACTTGACATTTGAACTGTGGCTATAAGTTATACTAGAGTAAAAAAAAGGACAGCAAGCTCTTAGATTGTAAGGCATCTGCACAAGTCATCTGATGGGAGGCAACCTGTCTCCAAACAGTAGCAGTCTGACTCTGACTGACTGCAATCATTCTCTAAAATATTGGCAATGTTTTCCAAGTAAATGTTGTCCAGTTTATAAACACAGATACATTGGCAACCTGTTGCAATCATTCTGAGTCACTCTGCTCTGATAAGCACAACTGACTGTGAACTAAAGAAACAGACATTTCTGATAACATACATCCATTTAAAACAAGCGCATGTCTGGTATTGAAGGTATCAGTTAATCTTAAAGTGTGCCACCTATGCCTGGGCGTGGGCTAAAAAGGAAATCCTGCCATGCAGCATACGCCACTAGTGTCCATTTTGAAGGGAAACAGTCTTTATATTGCTATCCACATGAAAGCAACATGCTAAAATGTGGAAAATAAGAATCTCGATTAACAGCTGGACGTACCAGTGTCAGATCTCGTTGGTGCCTTTGGTTTCTTTCGGTATAGAGCACCAGAGATGAGCGAAGGTGGTAAACATTCTACATCTATAAACCTACATTTTTGATTCACATGCATTTTTTGGCAAATGCATTGATGTTTTACAGTTTCTAAAAGACATATTTCTGGCTTTTCTGGATGTTTTCACTATTCTCAGTTTGGACACACAAGTAAAAAGTCTATTTGTGTCTCTCTTTCATCGACTAGACTTTGCTGGCACACCATTTGTCCCATGATACTTCCAGTTTTTGGTATATTCTCAACTTTGAAACAGCAAGGTTCCCTTTTTAGAAGGTTCTCTTCTCTATTTCAATGATTAAATTTCCTTCTGTAGTGCTCTGTCACTCTGGCTCTTTGTTCCTCTTGCTGTCTCTCTGAATTGTAAACCATGGGGAAAGAGAATTTAGTCCATCTGTCCCCTCCAACGTGGCTCTAGCACCCTGCTGGGACTACATGGCAAATGCCCAGATTTGCTGTCTTCTGCCAGACGGACATGCACGCAGATACACATACTAGAAATGTTTTGCAGATAGAGCATTGTAATATACTAAATATACAGGAAAAAAACTGATTTATTTCTGTTGCATGGATATTTACACTGAAATGTATTTGCAGTTTGTAGAAGAAAGTGAGCTTTGTTTAATTTAGATCAGGTTTACAGGGTAATGTCTTGACTGATCCCTCATTTCTTTATACATGGGTGCAGCGAGTTATAAAAATGTGCAAAAATACACGAAAATCCTGAATATAAGGCAAAAAGAGAGTTTGTACAGTTCTAATGAGCTTGAAAGTGAATACATGGTATGACCACCTTTATGCTTCAACACAGCCTGAACTCTCATAGGCAGCTTTCTTGTCATTTCTTTAATTAGCCATCAGGAATAGTTCTCTTGGCTTCTTGAAGGACATTCCTGAAGTCTTTTTTGGAGAGCAGGTAAACCAAAAAATTCAAATTTGGATTAATCACAACATCAGACTTGTTGCTACAGATTTTTCTCCCTGTTTCCCTTCGTTAATAATGTCTTCTTGACAGCCACTGTACCACTGAAATCACTTCTGATAAGGCTTCAGTGAGCAGTAGATGAATGAACTGAAGGGCCACATGCATCTCTCAGGTCTTAGTCGATTAGTTAGATTTTTTTCTGTTTTTTACACACAAATGGCTTTTCGATACTGCTTGCCTACTAGAGAAAGGTGTGACATTTCTTCTCATGTCCCCTACTTGTCTTGGATCCATATTTTTTTAAGGACACACCAAGCCGAGATATGTCAAGTTTTCAGCTAATAGCTCTTTGGGAGTCTGCTTGGTGGTGCAAAAAATACAATTTTATGCACGTCAGACTGTGTTATCTTTAGTATTTTTAGTAGAATCATCTAAAGAAATGAGAACAAATGATGTGTTTTTGTGACAGGCTGCTAGTGAAAAAGTGCCTAAAGCTACAATTTAAAATCGCTTCTTTGCTAAGTTAGCAGTGGTTCATGCCATTAGGTGTTTTTTTTATACTTACAAAAAGTGGGCAAAAAAGTATTCCTGTGAAAATGTTCACGCACAAGGACCGATAATCAGTGATGAAGCATCCAAAGAAACAAATGTGGGGAACTATTGCTCAAGGGCGCTTTAAAATATGACGCAAACTATAAACAAGTGAGAGGAGGTGTCTTAAGACTTTTGCACACTACTGCATGTTCAGATTCAAGGTCAGTGGCTACACATTAAACACGGTGTTTAATGAAAGAAGCTGTTGTGAATCTTTTTAACGTCTTTGTTGAAAAGAATAAAACCTTCATCAATGGGAACTATTTTTATAACTAATTCATTTGTATTGTTTTTGTTGAGATTCGGGATGCCTGGCCTCAACTTACCTGTTTGACTTTGACGTTTTATTGTGCTCCTCTTCGCCGTGTTTTCTACTTTCGCCTGAGGTCACCTGAAAAATTAAGATGAAAACTCGTCTTCCCCGCTGTCGCCAAGTGCTTTCTCATCATCATCATCGTTTGAAATCATAGGGGCTCTCTCTCTGCTGAGCTCACCATGAAATATAAAGCTCCTTGAGATGACTGTTGTGATATAGATAAAATGCTCCGCTCTTTAAAAATACAGGGCATAGTGCTGGTAGGTGTGGTTAGTTTTGCAAACTAAGAGATGATATCCAGCTGCAGGTAATTTACTAACAGGACAGGCACACAACAAATCAGAAAACCATATAAATACAGGGGATACGCGTGTATGTTAAATGTAGGCCTATGGTGATAATCTGGCAGACAGTCGTTTGAATGGAAACAGGCTCGAGTCATTCAGACAGGCTCTGATCTAGGACTGTAAACTGCACAGCAGTATTTTAGCCTTGTGTTCTGTAGCGTTCTTGTATTAAGACAACTTCCATATAGATAACATATCTGCGATATGTAACTCATGGAGAGTCAAAGTATGTGCAGCTAAAAACAGTCATGTGTTAGATCTCACGAGATCAGGCGAAAACCTCGTGCGCTGTCCATGGTCCTGAAATTCTAGTGTAATAAAACTGCATTAAAGAAAGTTTTTTTTCCTTTATTAAGGGAAGTTTTTCAGTTCATTAATGTAAATGAGTGTAAGAAGTTTTGATGTTGCTGGTATTGCGTGACTCCCTTAGGTTGGAGGATCCAGGTCATCTTTGAGTTCACTGAGCAAATTTAGAATTCAGCTGGCTGGGTCATCTATACGGTTTTACGTCTTTACGTCTACCTATCCTCTGCAGCCATATCAAGCTCAGAAATTGAGACATGCTTTTTATCTGCGTTAAATATTAGCTCAATTATCAGCAAAGTGCAAGTTGCAAATCAGTTTGTGCACATGATTTAAATATTATTCTCCCTATAGTTTGCGCTTTGAAAAAAGAACTCTGTGACGTTCATATGCAACAGTCACATAAACCTCTGAGTTCTCACTTTTTACTCACAGTCGTGTCATTGCACTCCTTTTACACCAAAGCTCAGTTTGTGCTGGAGCAACATGATAGCAAATCTGGTGTTTGGACATTGAAGTCCTTCAGTACCACATCTGACTTACAAACATACAACCGTCTGTTGAGAATTTGAGAATGATGTCTTTTTGGTCTGAAGTTACCATCTACCACTTCTTCACTCCCGACTATGTTTCCCCTTTCTCTGTCTCTCTCACAGCAGGCAGGACAATCAGTCCTGTAGGACATCAGATGCACAATCATCAACAGAGTCCAGCTACCTGCAGGCTGTGGACAGTCAGGGTGTCCCTCTGTGTCTCTCCTGCCAGCAGCCCTGCTCTACCACAGGTGGAGCGTGGGACACTCGATTCTGCAGCCACAGGTATTGCAACACTAACTACATACAGTTAGAGGAAAAGCTACGGGCTAAACTGGACATTTCCAACTTGTAATAACTTGAGAATTGCTCAAAAGTTCTGGAGCAGATTTGTAGATAATATAGATCTCAGTGCACCTGATGTGCGAGGTCTACTGCAACAGCAGTGTCTTTGATTAGATGTCAGCCAAACAAAAACATATTACATCAACTTTCACACAGTTTGGGAGGTTTTTTTCCCCCCAAACTTCCCCGTACTCATTGTCCTCTGCGCAGAAGCCCACCCATCTGGCACCAAAAAATTCAATTATATTCAGAGCTTTAAGAGTTTGTGTGCAAAACAAACTCAGAAACACAGCAGTACAATGTTGACTTCACCCTGTTGTTTGCTTTCTTTGTAGAAAGAATACTGTTTGCTCAAGACTAAAATAGATTAGACTTCAACTCTTGCATCTATAATGGTCTTTTTCCAAATCTTTTCCTGTAAATTTTTTGGGGGGGAATCAGTCAAATTTGGTCTTTACCAAACTTGATACCATTACCAATGTAAAATAAAAGTTTTTTATGGAAAATCTAAAGCAAACCTATTTCGGTTTAGTTTTTCTGGAGATGCTGCACCTTTTCCTGGCAGTCTTAATTCGATTAAATGGTTTTCAAAAGCCAGCTTCTGTTTTTTAACCAACATGAGAAAAACTTTCTATGTGAATGATTTTTAAAATAGAAAGAAGTTAATCACAAGTTTCTTTCTGTAGTGCAGATGTTTCTATGTGCTTTGACCCACAGGTGTCAGGAGGAGTTCCAGTTGCGCTCCAGCCAGACTTACATGCGGTCTCAGGTGTTGGAGGCAGAGCGCGGCATCTGTCAGCACTGCGGCCTCCACGCCCATGACCTGTTCATTAAGGTTCGTGATGCTCCACCCTCCCAGCGAAAGGAGATCCTGGAGAACACTTGGCTCACCCAGCTGCCACTCAAACAGGTGGGACATAGAGCAGAGGAGGCACTGTTTCGTATTTGTCTCTCATCCACGTTTCAGGAAAACTCCACCAATGAGCTGAAGAAACTTTTTTTTTTTCAAGTGCCAAACAGCCATTAACTATGGTGGTCAGTCAGTGCAACGAGGCAAGTTGTGTCAATGTGAAATTCAACTCCACACCACTGTTTCTGTCTTTTTTATGTCATATTTCTTTCCTGTAGACCTTTATACAACCAAAGGAGTGGCCACAGTGGCGCGCAGCAACTTTTACAGAAAGGCGATTGTGTTTTATTCGTTTACACAAGCTGACAGCCCGCTGCAGCTTGATTTACTTTTCCTGGGTGGCTTCACCTTTCTGCACTTCTTCCTGACTGAAAAGCTGTCTCAATCCCAATTCCAAAAAAAGTTTGGATGCTATAGAAAATGTAAATACAAACAGAATGCAATGATTTGCAAATCTCAAAAACCCAGATTTTATTCACACTAGAACATAGAAATTATACCAAATGTTTCAAGTTTGACAATTTAATCTTCCAAAAATATTGGCTGTGTTTAATTTGATGTCAACTAATTAGGTTGATGAGCAACAGGTCAGTAAGACGAAAGGGTACTAAAAGGAGCATGTAGGAGAGGTAGAGCTCTGCAAACTGTTTGCAGATTGTGGAACAATTTCAGATTAAGAATCCTCAATGTAAATTTGCAAAGACTTTGAATACCAGTTTACCAGAATAAGAATAAGTTTCAGAGAATCTGGAGAAATCTCTGTATGCAAGAAACTAGATCAAAAATCAGCACTGGATGTCCGGGATTTCCGCGCACTCAGGAGGCTGCATTACAAACAGGCATGGAAATCACTGCAAGACCACTTCAAGAATTCATTCTCTGTGGATACAGTTCCTCGTGCCAGTTAAAATACTATCGTGCAAAGAAGAAGCTAAATGTTAACATGATGCAGAAATGGTGCTGTCTTCTCTTATTTAAAATGGAATAAAATTTGAAAACTGGGAAAAACATGAGAAACATGGCACCACATCGCCAGGATTGAACAGGAGAGAGACCAATCGAGCTTGTTATAAGGGCTCATATCAAAAGCCTGCATCTCTGATGGTATGGGGTACATTAGTGCCTATGGAATTGGCATCTTCCACATATGGAAAGACACACTGATGCTTAAACATATATACAGTTTGTAGACAACAAACTATACTCCCACCCAGACTACGTCTTTTCCAGGGAAGGTCTTGTGTATTTTAGCTAGACAATGTTAAGCTGCATGCTATTACAACAGCATGGTAAACCGATTTGCCTGCCTGCAGTTCAAACTTTTCACTAACTGAAACATTTGGTGTATAATAAAATGAAAAATACAGAAAAGAAGGCTCAAGAATACTGAGGAGCCAGAATCCAATATCAGACAATAATGGGACAACAATCTTCTCCCAGAAGTCCAGCATCTGGTCTCCTCAGTTGCCAGATATGTGCAGGCTGTTGTCTAAATAAAGTGATGCTACACAGTGGTAGGCATAGCCAACTTTTTTTAACCATTCTGTTCCTGTGGACTTGGAAATGACGTTTTTATAGGGTACATTTTCTCAGTTTACACATTGTTTGGTGTGTTCTTTTCTGAATAAAATATGGGTTTATGAGATTTGCATATCATTGCATTCTGTTTTTTCATTTGTGTTTTATACAGTGTTCCAACATTTTCAGAATCGGGGTCATAGTCTGTATATGTCTTCTAAATATTACTTTACATGAAACAGTGTTACTTGTAAATTGAACATAAAATATTAAAGTTTACTGTGGCTGTTCTGTGAGGACGATACGTCTCTAAATGAAAAGCTATTAGAGTTCAGAAACGCAGCCCTACAGCTTGATTTTAAAAAGTCGTTTAAATATGTGTATGAACAGGAAGGTGATATATTAGCAAAACAGCTGGTTAAACTTAGTATGTAAACTTAATAAGCAAACTTGCCTGTTTTATTAAACCGGATATGGTCGCAGCTGGCACTCCTCTTCCTTAAGGCTTTCTTTGCTAATGTGGTAAAGCAATTATTAAAAACCTTTATTAAAAACACTGCACAATAAAATTTATTTGCTACAACAGTAATTCGCAGATTGATGGTTTTCTTGCAAATGCTAGCTCCATTTCCACAAAGCATAGACAGTAAGGGATCTCAGAGCAGTGAAAGCTGACCCAGCGGCAGATTGTCTAACACAGTCTCTGCCATCAGTTTCCTGTCAGAGTTACGGGTTAATGCTGCTGGTTTCTCAGCTTGACATGCTCAAGTTATTGTTAACAGGACAAAAAGTAGAGCTTGAGCGCAGACGTGCCTTCAAAATGCTTATCCCATAAAGATGTCTCTGAGTCAAGCAGAGTTAATCCTGCTTCCAGAGACAATAGCCAAATGAGACCAATAAAAGACAGTAATATACAGGAAGTGCGAAAATGGCAAGAAAGCCTTACTTTTATCTGAGAGGAAAGCAGAATGGGATTGATTCTGCTATGTTTTAATTGATGTTTTTAGATTTTACATCATGATGATCATGATCATTTTTATACATGCAAATATTTAATACAAACTAAAACTACATGGAATCTCATTATACTTCTCATTATTAAAAAAAACAGACTGAGTGTCTGAAAATTATCTGTTTTTCCCTTTAAACAGGAAGCAATGCGTGGGTGAACTAAAAAAACATTTATACATACAGGTTTTGCTCGTTGTTTTAAAGTTGTATGATAGCATGCTAACATTTGGTGATTAGCACCCACATTACCTGAGGGAATTTTATTTTGATGTGGTTGGATGTTTCAGGTGTTAAGATTTTTTTTCATATAAGGATGTTTTCTCCTCAATATTGAAAATTTGTACCAACTTTGTTAGATAAACAGTCATCAAAATGCACACATTAACCGACATCAGTCTCTCTATGTGAGCCAAAGAACTGACAAAGAAGTTCTTTGTGTGTTTATGTAAGTGCAAAAATAAAAGCACCCTGTACTCCCCATCCCACCCACCTACGCACATATGCATCTACTCACACACACACACGCAGGTTGATCTGCACTCCAAGGGGCCAGCTCCCAGTAAATGGATTGCTGGGCCCATTGATTTTTTTTTTCCCAGTGCCAGGCCTCGACCAGTAAGCCTATTTGATTTGGTTGGCTGTTATCCTGCAAAGCCACCCCCCCACACACACACAAACACACACTCACTCCTCCTCCCCTCTTTCCAGTGCCGCCGGCAGAAGCATCAGCGCCGATCGATGCACCGAGCTTTAGAGGAAACAAACTCAGCCACATGATAAGACACCAGTGGTGGAGAAGCCTTGAGATTATAGGCTCACTCTTTGGTTCATACTGGGGGGGTTTGGTACGTGTGTGTGTGTGTGTGTGTGTGTGTGGTGTGTGTGTGTGTGTGTGAGAGAGAGAGAGTGAGAGAGTGGGAATGGTTATATGTGTCTATGTTTGTAGCTTGGGCTCTCTTTTTGGCGTGCATGTGTATAACAGGTGTGGCTGTAACGGTATTTTGATGCGCGTGTGGATTTTCAGGATGTGTTAAAGCCTTTAGGTGCTTGTGAGAGGAGCTTCAGTATGTGTGTAAGTGTGCAGTAGTGAGGTAAGGTGCACCAAAGTGCATGCTTTTGGCACAAAAGCAGGCTCAATTGACTCGAATGTGTGAGAGCTTGTGTGAGAGTGTGTAAGAGAGAGATCTGAACTCTGGCCCTGTGAGCAGGCCTGTTCTTTAAATCTGTTGGGATCAATTCCAGCTCCCTGCCTTAATGTCGGCAGAGTAGTTCTCAAAGTAGGAAAATAGATTTCGGGCCCTGAACTCTTCCCACCAGGATTCTCTCTCTCTATTGTCTTAAGCTCCTCCACTTGCTTGCTCTCTTTTTTCTTTTTGTCTCTATTCTCTGTCATCTTCCCATTCTTGCTTTCTGTTTTCTCCACTTTTTTCCTTTTTATATTTTCTTCATAAAATAAATTTCAGATTCACAACAGTATTATCTGCTAGTGAATCCACACTGTGCCCAGTGGACCTCAGTACATTTTTACAAAGAAGCACTACGGGTCTTCAAATGGTTCAGCTAGTTACTCATTAGCTTTGACTTATTTCTGTTGCATCTCAGACGTTCAACAACAACTTCTGCTACTGTTGACTGGTATAGATTATTTTAAAAAAGAATAATCTTTTACATCACATGGATGGTCAGGTGAACGCACGTTACTTGCCTGGGAGCTAAGAAGCTAAGCCAGTGGAGGCAGTGTGGTCCTTTGGGCAATGTTCTGCTGGGAAACCTTGGGTCCTGCATCCATGTGGATCGCTTTTACATGTACCGCCTACCTAAGCATTGTTGCAGATCATGTACACTCTTTCATGGAAACAGTATTCCCTTATTAGCAAAACACTGGTGTCTTGCTGTATTTTCTGTAGTAGTCAAAGGAATTGAACTGTGTATTTTTATTGTGTCTGTGTTTCTACTCCTTCTCCTTTGCCTCCAAAGACATCAGTTTAACTGATAAAATAACTGTTACTGTGTCGACTATCACCTTAACAAGTTAAACATATAAAAAAAAAAGAGCAATTAAAACAGAAGCTCACCTGAAATACTACTCAGGATATTGCAAATGCATTTTTTTTATCTTACTTACAAACTTACTCATTATGTAAGTTTTCCTTGTATGAGGAAAACTCTCCTCCTCTAAATCTAGTGAAAAATGTGCTTTAAAATGTAATTAGCAGAATTTTTTTTTAAAAGTCACAAAAAGTTGAGGCATTTAGGAGTGTGCACCTTAACTGTAGCACGATATTCCCAGCGGTATTTTTAACCTAATTTCTGTCAGGCAGGCTTGCGAGCTCTCCCTGATTAAGTTTCCCTCCAGCTGCCCGTAATGTAGGCCACAAACATTTTGGTGATTTATACAGCTGTACCTGAGGCAGCAAACGGTGATGGATAGCATGAGGTCAAAGTTTGCTGTCATCAATTCGGCACAAATGATGTTTTCATCAGCTGGTCTTATCCTCACAATCACACAGGCTTACATTAATCTCAGCATAATAAACTTCCATCAGAGGCCCTTTCCTGCAGTTTGCCTTCATTATTTCCTGGATTTTGCCAGTTATGTGCTTTGCTGGGATGCATTTTTTTGGCTTGAGACTGTTTTTTATCTTCTTTTATTGTGAGGCGCATTGCAGAAATGTCCCCGCAGTGCAGAGATTTGTTTAATATGAATGATTTGTCTGTGCCTGTGTGTGCTGTAAAGTAACAATTTAGGTCACTGTAGTACCCAGCGAAAGGCTGAGCTTTACTAAAGACATCACATCAGTGCAAAGAATTAACTTTAGCATAGATGGATGGTTTGGGAGGGGAGCGCTATCAAACGTTGTTTTAGGCAATTTAGAGCAGTGTGAGGGAACATCCGAGGGTAGCCGGTGTACTGAGACGCTCACTGTTGTATTCCGGTGTGCTTCCAGCTGAACGAGATGATCCGAGCTCCTGTTGAAGGGGATTTCTGGCAGGTTGACCACATCCGTCCGGTCTACAGCGGAGGAGGCCAGTGCTCTCTGGACAACCTGCAGACACTCTGCACTGTCTGCCACAAAGCCGTATGTGCACACTCCGCATCACAGCACCCATAACAACCGCAGCACCAGCTTTTAAAGCCAAAGGGCTTAGGGGGCAAAAGCAATTTGTCTAACATTTTAAGGTGCACAGCAGATGGAGCTCTCCTTTATCCCTGTATAAAGAGAAAGCGCCATCACTCATGTTGAGGATCACATGTGCTGGCAGTAATGTGATACATGGTCAAACACATTGATCAAAAGTCATATTATCCCTCACAAAGCTATATACTGCCTATAATAACATCACATGATGTGGCTGTGTGACATTTTGATGTATAGCATGCGTTGGAAAATGCTATATATCGGCCTCTTCCTTCTTGCACTCCTTCAATATTTCATATTTTCAGTCAGCCACTTCTTAAAAGCAGATCTGATTTGAGAAGAAACTTTTCAAAATAAGACACAGCTTTCACCATGAGCTGAAATGTGCTTTGCTTTCACACCAGAATGCTTTTTTCTGTCAGCTTGGAAGGAAACGCTTCACATGTTGACGTATGTAAACTGAAGCAAAGCACTGCGACTGATAAGGGGATCCTCGCACTGTTTATGCCCCCTCTCAGACACTTTAATCTAGAGATGCTCGATATATCGATCTGACTTTTCTGCGCTGACTGCAGATGTAACCTCTTACATCATGTTCCATTTTTCTCCACAGAGAACAGCTCAGCAAGCCAAAGAACGAAGCCAGAGCAGGAAGAGTGCTGCAGCTTCCAAGGTTTCGTCAGACATCAGCAGGTTCTTCGTTCGGAAAGAAAACAATTAGCTGGGACCTGTTACGCTTTCACTTATTGTCAGTTAGGGATAGAGCGATCCAATACTTGGATCAGATAGCCTGACACCAAAAGCTAGATCAGACATCCGTGACAGGGCTTAGCTATGCTCTTCAGGTCTATCATGTTTTGTGTTTACTACCCCACGCATCGGCAGCAATCTGCTAACTTCCAGCAGTCAGCTAACAGCAAAGCAACAGTAGTTCAAAGTGTTTCGCTACAGCAACACCAGTTTGTCTTAATATGCGTACAAGTGAGTTGGCACGACTGAAGAGCTTCAGCGACAGCAGTTCGGTCTGTTTCTCTTTCTCTGTCATTATGTTTGGTTTAACACTTGTTTGGAAGCTTTTGCGTCACTCATGGTAACTTAAAGGAAATTAAAGGAGAAACTGTGACTATTAATTACAGCACTGTGCTGTAATTAATCCTACACAAGGCTGAAATAACGCTAATGCAAATAAATGTTTTTTTAAAGCATAAATACATTTGTCTTTTTATACTTTTCTAATGAATAGGTCGATAATCTTCTGTCTCACTCCTCAGAGTGAGAAATACACATTATTGATTTAACACTGGACCTGGTAGCAGCAGATACCTGAGGCCAAGGTATCAGTGTGGTATTAGAAGTGGAAAAAGTTAGACTGGTGTATCCCCAGTTACAGTCCTGGATGCTCATATTAGACATTACCAAAGTGGTTAGAAAATGTGCAAAGTTCCAAAAGTTCAGGCTTCAGATAAACAGCCACTTTTTAGATGTTTTCTTTCTGCTCTTTTCTTTGAGAGTTGATATACGTGGTGTTATCTCAGCTACACGACTATGGTCACAGAAACTCAACCCACCTGTTCAAGAGGGGCAGCCAATCAGAAGATAGTCAGCTTAAAGGGAAAGAGAAGACAGTATAAATAATGCACGTACAATCCTTGACCCCTGTGTTTGCATGAACACTTCTGGTCTTATAGAACTTCATCAGACAACAACCAGCAGTTATAACCTCGCCAAACACTTTGCTCAGTCACTCGACCTTTTGCTATTTGCTTAGTAACTCATTTTTAGGTCGTATTGAACAGAAGATTAGGTCCATTTTATAAATTTTAATGGATATATGAGTCAGAAAGGAGGAGCTAAATAGCTAGTCATAGGCAGGCTTAGCTTGGGACATCACGACCAAATAAGTAATGTCCATCTTTTATACTGTATATGGAGAGAAGTTATCTAAAACGGCTTGTTTCAGGCAGCAGATGAGCCGATGGGCAAAACCAGTGGGAAGGATAAATATAGATTATTTTGAACTGTGCAAAGCCACTAGACCCTAACTGCAAGACAAAAAAACAAACGAGAGAAACAGAAGAGGAAAAGCAAAATAGGTCCCCTTTAAAGGTTTGGTGCAGTTTGCACATGTAAAGGTGTTTATTCAGTTTACATAAAGACGCACTGTGTGAAGTATCAGAAGTCCCATTTGCCGTGACAGATGAGGACACAAGGCCTTTAAAGATTCTGCCTAGCTTTCAGATGCTCTCATCTGCGTCCCACTGGACCCCATTACGTTGGAAGATCTAGTAGTGGAGATTTACCTTAAAGAAAAGTGCAGTGACGTCTGCATCAAATGCAAATTCAGCCAACTCCCCTCTCGTCCCCGAACCGTCACAAGTGCGGTAGTTTTGATTTATGACGCCCCCTTCCCTTTTTTTTTTTTTTTTGCTCGAGGCTGAAATGGAGCAGGTTGTTTAGAGAGATGCTGCTATTTTAAGATTTTGCAAAGTTGGTGAAAAGTAGCAGCTCAGAGATGAATTGCGAGCTTTGTGATTAAAACTCTACGGCAGCAAACACACCCAGGTGTCCTCATTGGTGCGATCAACAAGTGTCGCCTTGTAAATCTTTTTTTTTTCTTTATGAAAGATGGATGAGCACTCTCTGATGGAATGAGAAACCTCTTTTCACCTTGTTTCGTTTCTTCTTCTCCCGCTCTGGCGCTGTAACCGGTTTGGACTGTAAATACAGCGAGCCGTCGGCCGTTCCGACAAGCTCGCAAATCGTTTCATCGCCTCAAGTCAGGAACATTATCGTCCATGTCCACGCATCTACCTCCTCTTCAGCTGTGCTTGATGATCTGAGCAGAGCTAAAGTCAGTCAGGAGGGCTATGTTTAGAGACAGAGAGCAGAGTTACTATGGAAACAAGGCTTTAGGTTCAGCCATGTTGGGAATATTGAATCTGTTCTTGTGAGAGTTATACAATGAGCTAGACAGACATCAGAAACTCCAATCAATACCAGCAGCCTCCTGCGAGAACGAGGCCCTCGCATTCCTCCGAAACGCGCGGTTTTACCTCCCCTCTCCGCTCTGAGGCTCCACCGTCGACGTTTTAGGGTGTCGTCATGTCACGATTTGCCTGTCTGTCAGCCGTGTCAAACGCCTAACTCAGCACATTCTGCCCTCGCAGGAAAGTTTTAAATTTTTCTGACAGCCCCCCCCCAACTTCTCTCAGCCTATCAGCTGAAGACGCGCTTTAAACTTTCTCTGAGCCCATGTGGGTGCACGCGTGGGTGTATGTGTATTTCCCCTACGGCTGCTCCAGGTCTCCACTTAATAAGACCGTTGTTCCTCTCCTGTCCAAACCGACAAGCTTTGTGAGTAATGAACATCTCCCAGGCAGCCTTCCAACAACAGCAGGTTTCAGTGTCAGTCCCTGTCAGCAGCCAATGACTCTGATCCGCTGTTTTATTACACCCAAAAGGTGTGTGTGCGGCAGAGAGAAAGTGAGGAAACTAGTGCGAAAGTGTGGCTGAGTGTGTGTGCTGCTCAGATTAAGCTCGTGTGTTTGGCAGAGGGAAAGTGTATATTGGACAGGAGAGGAAGTGGTGTGCATGTGTTTGTCAGAGGAAGCCATAATGAGGCAGCGCCCAGATGAAGATATCTTGCATTCCTCCCAGAGGGTCTGCTGGGTAAAGAGCAGCGCCACAGCCGCATGACACTGTTTGCGTTGGACAACCTATCAGCCCAGAGAACAACATTACCTCCACGGGTGATGACAGTAATAAAGATGGACTCAAACACCGACCGAGGTTTGCCTGTTTGCTTTCCGTCTAACGTGCTGCCCGCCTTCCTCTCACTTTTTGAAGTTGGCATCAGAGCAAAGAAGAAAAAAATCCAACTTGCTTTTTTTTCCTCCATCAAGTGAAATCGACATCCTTTCCACGGTGCCCCTACCGCATGGACCTTTCTGCAGGTTACATAGCAACAGAGCATACAGTGAATGCCGTGTGGATAAAATTAGCTGGACAAATATCTAGCAGAAATAATCACATGTAATTACAAGATCACAATATAATGTCAAAAGAAGGATGGCAGGGAAAGAAAAACAGCGCCATCTGACAAACATACAAAGCACAGAGAAACTGCTTTTAGTGCTTCTCATTACTTTATGTTATACACTATGTTATACACATTTACATTTCATCTAAATATGGGGGGAATTTCACATTATAAGGTCTGGATATCCAAAAGATCCAAAAAGTTCAGGCTCCTCCAAACACCCAGTTTCAGAGTAATTTTTCTACTTTTTGATCTGTGTGATGTCAATGAGAGCAGATACAGCTGTAACCTGCCAATTCAAGCCAGCCAGTTAGACAAAAAGGTGGCTCATGCCTCGCTCACACAGGCCTAGAGACTTGTCGGTGACCCCTTGGTGACCTTTGGTTGCTTGGAAAATTTTCTATTCCCTGACCTGGAATGCTGGCAGTGAAAAACAGCTGAAATCAGTCACATGACAGACGCCGATTCATCTGCAGACACTTGCCCTTCACTCTCTGCGCTGTAGTGCAATTTGAAAAAGCGAGCTCACCTTTAAAGTAAAAGTTGTCTTACCTCTGCAACGGAAAAAGGTGCTTTCTGTTTTGCATTACACTTTTCACATTTTCTCTGTTGAATTCAATTCAGTTCAGTTTTGTTGATATAGCACCAAATCACAACAGTTGCCTCAAGCTACTTTACATTTTAAAGTAAAGACTCAACAATATTACAAATTACAATCATACAGGTGTATACACCATCAAGCACATTTTATTTAGGCAAACACTTGGTGACAGTGGGGAGGAAAAACTCCCTTTTAACAGGAAGAAACCAGGTTCAAAAGGCGCCCAGAGCAATCACGAGGACGTTTTGGGTGCAGCACTTTATACCTCTTTGCACCCACTTGAAAACCTCTCACAAATACACACTTCTCCCTAGCAACCAGTGGTTGCCAGGGGAGATTTCTAGGACCACTGGCTCATTTCTGGGCTTGAGTGAATTTGGCTTTAGCAAACAATTTAACAGCAAACTCTAGCAGCCACTCACCAACTGGGCGGAGGAAGACCTCTTCCCTAACAACCATTGGTTACCAGATGGTCATGAACTGATCTCTAGGCCTGGGTTACTTGAGCCTTAAGGGGAGGGGGAGGGGCTAAAAAAAAGGCTTGATGGAAAGCACCCAGGGTCAGTATAAGAAAAATGACTAAGAATAAAAATATGAAGCTGGAATTTAGCATATTAGTTTTTTCCCCTTTAAAAGATTATTGGGTTTAACATTTAACACGTTTCTTTTCTGATTTAAAAAAGATTATATTAAACCACCAAAACCAGCTTAACTTTTCTTGAAAGTTTTGTGTGTTTATGAAAGTTGAATACATAATTTCTTTAGGCTGCTGTTTTCAAAACCCAAACACATCTGGGGCGCCTTTAGCTTTCACAGTGTTATATCGAATCTTTTAAAGTGGTGTTAATAAATAAACCTAAAGGTACGACTATCGCTACAAGCTAATGTAGCATGCTTTTATTGCTGACCGGTGTCGAGGGTAACACATTACTGGAATCACATTCCATTTGTCTGTAACATATTAGTTTCTTTATACAGCAATCACATTACAGCTACTAATTATACAAATACATCAGTTGTGCTCTGTAGGTATTTAATCTGCATCACTGGCAGGTAGAAATATGCTGACCTCGGTTAGTGCGGCAGATAACACACAGAGGGGAGAGCAGTCTACAAGTTTGAAGAACTGTTTTGAATTTGTTGTGTTCAGGGACGTTTTCAGGATTGCGCAGCTGGAACCAAGAGCAAAGCATCAGGGGGGCACGGGAAAACAGAATGGTTGATCAGACATAAATATGGTGCAGAAAATTGATGTAGAAAACAGTGAGGAAGGTGCACTTTCCAGCCTGTGCCTTCATACAGATGGTATTCATGAAAAGCAGGATCGCACGAGAGTTTAAGATGCTTTTTTATGTGTGTCAAAACAAGGATTTAGACCTTTAAGACTTCATAATCCTGTTTAGGTAGCAAAAAATTACAAAGGTTTAATACATTATACGTAATAGCCCTTTTTTCACACCCATAATCCTGTTGGTTCATAATTCCTGATTAATTATTTGTGTATGACTTTAACGTGCAGCTGGAGATGATTTGAATTCATTCTATAAAGCTGGATAGCTTTATCTGCAATAATACAGCATGTATGTATATTTTAAAATCTTCAAAAACCATAAATAACTAAAGCTTTCAAATAAATGGCACAGAGGTTTCAGAGCAGAGTTGCAGAGATTACGACATGCATATTCATCCACTGCTGGAACTAGTCCTCCCCAAAAACAGTATTTACCTGTGTTTCTGTAATCGTGTGATGTTGTGATTGTTGGTTTTGGTCTCAACTCATCAAAATGAAGAAGCCATTACTAGTGTGAAAACAGCACATTTCCTCTGCATGTTAAAGCTGCAGTCACATTGGTATTCGTAATGTGGGTCAGAGGACCTCCAGGGGCTGTGACAGGGCTCCTGGGGCTCCTCGGCAAATTGAGAAATAGATTAATATCACTGCAACTCAATTCCATAGGAACTTCTGCAATTACAGATGTTACATTAAGTGTAAGGATGATTATTGCAGTTTTAGCTTTTAGTCTCAGTTTCATCTCCCCGCAGGTTGAGGGGGTGGGGGGGTCTGTGACATGAAAATGTTTGGCCACCCCCCCCGTTCCAACCAGGCCAGACTTTACGCTAAACTACACAAATCATTCGTAATTCAATCACGATTTGCATTCAGACAGCACGGCGTTATATTTGGCCCCATTCCACTGGTTATTCCATTTCAACCTCGCCTGCCCCCATAATCTACTTTGGCCTTTTCAGCTGAAGGAAGCGCTTCTACAAACCCAATCATGTGTGACAGGTGTGATGGAGAAGGGCCAATAAAAGCCTGCACAGCGCACTGCGTGCGGCCGCCGGCTCTCCAATCCGTGGCTGAATCCTGCTGTGGTTTGATTCCTGGCTGCCATGCTCGCCGCTGTGATCCCTCTGTGTCTGTGACCCTCCCTGCCCTTCAGCAAGGAAAAGGAAATAGATGTGAGGGAGGCCGTACCCCGCTGTTCTCCTTCAGGAATGAAAAACAGCCGCGGCACAGTCTCTGTCTTGCCAAAGCACCTCTGATATTCTGTCATTTGGTGGAATGTGAACTGCAGAACCTCATTATAGAAAAGGAATGAACCTCGAGTCAGACCTCCGCAGTGTTGTGTTACAACACCGAGGAAGCTTGTATTCTAAAAGGCTACACCCGTATCGCCTAATTGAACTCTGGAGTCGGCATTTAGGAAGCGGTTCTTGGCTTTAAACAGCCCCAGCCAGAGAGGCTTTTGTCTTTATTGTCATATTATCTCTTGGGATGGTGATAAGATGATTAATCATTTCCCGCTGCAGCAAGAAGGCTGGCACCGCTCGGCAGAGCGCGACGCCCTGGGTGGAGGAAAACGGTATTATGGCCCAGGTAATTGGTGGAGGACCATCACTCATAAGCGATCTAATTAATCTCATTAAAACACCCTCTCTGCTTGCACAGAGGTGTTTCTTGAGGAGCGCTGCAACAGAAGGCGTTTCCCCCCCGAAATGGGTTTATCCATCCTGATAAGTGTCATATACGCACATGATGTTCTGAGAGGAGCTGCAGCTGAAGCGAGAAACAGAAAATCGATACAACAATTCCATGTAAACCTCAGCCGGCTATTTTCAAATGTCATTCAGCATAGTAGGAGATGTGCAGTGGTAAAAGGATGCTTTCTCATTGCTCAGCTGGAGGTGGCTTTTGTCAAGTCCAAATTCTATTTATTCAAGATGGCTCCCTGGTTGTCTCCCAAGATGCATGGCATGCTGCGGATTAAGAGCAAAAACGCAATCAATTCACCCAGTGGGAGATCAGGGGAAATAACAGATAAGGTTCTTAGCATAATTCATACAGTCCCCAATCTGGGCTAGGATTAATGTATGTCTTGGCTGTAGTTGGCTCTCATTTGTATGTTTGGAGCTTGCGTGGGGCTAAATTGGCGCTTCATGTGGCCCATTACAATCAGGCTTTGTTTGGAAGGGCCCCAGCGAGGACTGGATCTGACCGCATTGTTTTACAAGGCATCTGTATCTAATGCAATTTAGGACTGATGTAATCTCATCTACATTTCAGGATCTGTTACACAGTCTTCCGTCTTTTCAGCAAGCCGTGTCAGCAATTTAATCTGCGCTCTACCTCTTAGCATCCACCAGGTTGGCCATGACCTGACTAGGATTAGGTTCACTGTTTACGTCACATATGCTAGTAAATCTACCCCATAATGTATTTATGGGTTTTTTTTTATGTTCTGCCAGAGATTTCTTCCTGTTAAAAGGGAGTTTTTCCTTCCCACTATCGCCGAAGTGCTTGCTCATAGGGGATCATATGATTGCTGGGTTTTTCTCTATGGTCCCTCGCTGTTTCGCGGATTTTTTTGTGCAATTTTGCATGCTTTTTTTTCCCCAGTGTATTGTTTTCTGCATCCTGATTGGCTGTAGACCATTGTCAAATAATAATAATAATAATAATAATAATAATAATAATAATAACTTATAAATTGCTTTCAAACAAAATCTCCTCTGTGCCGGTACAGAATGCGTTCAGCTTGTCAAATTTACATAACTCTTCGATCGCTACAGTGTGACTCTGAAGTGCTGTACTGTGTGTTTGTAGGTTTTCTCCCCAACAAACACAACAATGTCGACAAAATGTTTTGCACTATCAGAGGCACCTGCAGTAGCACACAAAAGGCAGAGGAAGATGCTAACCATCGCACAAGAAGTTGGACTTCTGGACATGCTAAAGTAGAAGTTACAGTATATTTCAGATTATAAGGCGCATTAAGCGAAACAAAACAGTCAGATAAGTCAAACTTTACTCAACTCATTCTTCTTGCTTCGTCTTCTTCCGTACCATTGATTCATTAATGTTGAATTCTCTGGCAGCTGCTCTATTTCCATGTTCTGGACCTGAAAACAAGGTTTGATCTTTGGTTTCATTCCCTGTTTAAACAAGAGAGAAAAGTGTGAAAATGTTCACGCCTGTCTGAGAAAAGTGTATAAAGTGTGTAGTGAGAGGTTTTTCAGCCTTAAAACATCTATAATAATTGTAAAAACAAAACCTCGCTACTTTGCGGATTTCACTTATCGCTGGTTATTTTTAGAACGTAACTCCCGCGATAAATGAGGGACCACTGTATTGTAGGGTCCACCTTACAATAAACAGCACCTTGAGGCGACTGTTTTTGTGAGTTGGTGCTGTATAAATAAAATTGAATTAGAAAACTGAATTGAACTACAACATATAAGCACGTAGCTCAAATGTAACCCCTCACTCAAACCAGCGAAACTCCCCTTTCTGTCATTTTAAAGATGTTTAACTACACTTTTAATCCAGATTAATAAAAAACAGAAGTGCAAGTTCAACAGTATATCTCATCTTTTTTACATGATAAAGAAATGTTGCACGATGCCAGCCCAAATAGAGAAATATATATTCATAAAATTGTTACAGTTGCTCACTGCCCAGACTAATTCACATTAATTCATTAAAAAAATGTTCATGGTTAAAAAAAAAGCAAAGATATAAATCTGGGTGATACTGAAAAAACAAGAATTTTGCTGTGTTTTAATTTTGTTTATCTAATAATTATAACTAATAATTGCTTTGGTGTAGCATGAATGGCAGTGTGGGAGGTCTTTCTCAGTAGGAAAAGCTGTAAAAAAGCTGGGCCGAAACTGGCCCCCGGACCTTATGTTTGCCACCCCTGCTCTAAGTGGTTGGTGATCAGATGCTAAGAGATTAAGCAGGATGTTTAACCTCTTGAATACCCAATGAAATATATTCCCCGAATGCATAAAATCCTTGTTTAAAAAAGTGTTTGAGTCATTAAAAAACATGCATTTCATACATTAAGATGTCACATGCTGTCCTGGCAGCACTTGACACAGGGGGTAGAAAGCCGCAGGAGGCTACAGTATTGCTATTTTCCCCTTTCATGTAAAGCTGCGTTCAGAAGATTGAGATTGAAAATGGAAAGCCGAACAAAACGCCCTCCAACAAGTTCCCTTTTCATGAAGCCTTAAAAGACATCTTTTCATCTCCCATTTCGTTTGGCGGCCATTGATCAGCCATCTTTCACAGATTGCTTCCAGACATCTATT